AGGCAGGCAGGCAGACAGACAGATAAGCAGACAGGCAGACAGGCAGGCAGACAGATAGACAGGCAGGCAGGCAGACAGACACAGAGACAGAAAGGCAGGCAAACAGACAGGCAGGCAGGCAGACAGACAGGCAGGCAGGCAGGTAGGCAGAAATAAAAATGTGAGCAGCAGGAGGGCGTCTAGTGCAAACTGACATGGCCAAGGAGTCTGCATCCCTGGGTTCTGGCCCTGGCTTTGCCCCCTGGCTCACTTGGGAGACTGTGAGTTCACTCCATACCACTCACTCTGGGCCTCAGTTTCCTCCTCTGCAAACTGAGGGGATTGAACTAGGAGCTTTCTGGGGTTCCTTCCAGCCCTGGTGGGAGGAGCTTCTTACCCCGACTCTAATCTCTGACCCTCTGCAGGTGCGTGGGGCTGGCATCCAACTGACCAGGAGACCGGAGCCCCTCCAACACCAGGGCCCAGCAGGAGATGCGAAGGAGGTACGGACCCTGGCCCAGCAGGATGAAATCACTGGTGACAACTGCAGGTCATTTGTCATGGGAGAAATGATCACTTCCGACACCTCCTGCTGGAGTCTGTGATGGACCCAAGCCACACCAGGAGAAGGCCTGGTGACACCCTATCTCCCATCAATATTGCAGCAGGCTGTGTCAGCTCCAGCACTGGGGGGGAAGGGGGCAGGGCAGGGGATACAGCCAGGTGAAAGCCAGAGGAGGGGCTGGGGCAGGGAATGGGCTTCTCCTCTGGCCAATGACCAGTGACTGGGCCCCCCCCTCCTGCCTCTCGTTTGATACACTAATAGTGGCTGCCTCTGGCATTTATTACAATATAACTTGGTCATAGGGGCAGCTCAGTGGTGCAGCAAATAGGGTGGAGTCAGGAGGACCTGAGTTCAAATGTGACCTCAGCAGACCTGACCAGAGCTGTGTGGCCCTGGGCAAGTCACTTAACCCTGTTTGCCTCAATTTCCTCATCTGTAAAAACAACTGCAGAAGGAAATGACAAACCACTCCAGTATCTTTGCCAAGAAAACCCCAAATGGGGTCACGGAGAGTTAGATGTGGTTGAAACCACTGAACAATAACCATTTCATTCTTTGTGAGTCCTGCTCAAAGTGAGAGGTGGGCACTCCTATTCAGGCAGCCACCTCGGCCATGAAGGGTGAGGCTGCCAAATAAGTGCCTTCTCCCTTTGGGGTAGATGAAGGTGGGGAGACCAGACCCATGATTTAATTGGTACAAGGAACTTCTAGTGTGCAGACTCCCTCTACCCTCACAGAACAGCCCCTGCCCTGTGGCCGATCGTCTCCGAGCATTGCCTGGGGTGCCGTGAAGCTAAGTGGGTTACTTGCTTAGGGCCCCACGGCCAGGATGTGTATGTCAAAAGCAGTATTTGCACCCAGGTCTTTGTGACTCAAAGGTTCGTGGTCTATTCTACCATGCTGGCTCTCCACCTTCTCCCACGCCACCCTCTTGGAGCCAGTCCCGGGGAAGATGTACCAACTGTGTGATCTGCACTTGGCGAGGAGGCATTTCTGCAGCTTGGACAAGGTGGGAATGTTGTGCCCTGGAGGTAGCTACTCCCTGGTGGTTTGAGGCTCCACCATAACCATGCTATGAGACTGACTACAACATTCATACCGATGGGCTTGGATTTGCAGGCATTAAAGCTATGATAATTTATAAAAATCAAGGTTAAAAAGTGACCCTCATTGCAAAGCCATAACTAAGTCAGAGTGCCTGGACCTTTGCTGACCTCTGACCCACCCCCACTGGCTAGGAGCTCTGTGCCTCAAACCTTGGCTTCTTCACAGGCCTGCCCTGGGCTTCCCTCAGTGATGCCTTGCTCCTGGGGTTCCTCAGGGGGGCCAGCTGTCCTGTGAGGGGCTACCCCCTCTCAAAGCCAGCTCAGCTGTCCTCTGGAATGCCATCATCTCCCCACGCTGACCCGTGCTCCTGATTCCCCTCTGTTTGCTGTGCTCTAAAGAGCTGGTTCCTCTGCCTAAGCCAGCTTCTGCTAGCCTGTTACAGAGGGCTGAGGGTTATTTTATCTTTCCCGTAAAAGCTGGTGTTACAACAATATGAGTTTCCATTCCCCTTTCCAAGATTTCTTCCCATTCCTGCATTAGCACCCCTAGAAAAAAAAAAAGAAACCATGCTTATGGGAGATCGTTTTCAGCTGGGCGTGAACAACCTTGATTGCCCTCCTGGGCTCGGAAGGGGGTGGGGACAGGATGAGTTCACTGCCACCCTCCCCATCACTCCACGTTCCTCACCAGCTTCTGCACCTCCAGCAGGTACCGAGAGCAGTCCTGGTGGCCGTTATATACTGCCAAGTCCAGCGCGGTGTAGCCATCGCCGTCCTGAAGGGCAGGATCCACCCGGTGCGAAACCAAGGTCTGACAGCACTGAAACGACACCATTGGGCAGAGTGAGAAGGGTGCTGGCCTTTGCCACATCTGCATCCTTGCCCCACACCCACCTCTCCAGCCATTTGAGGTCTACAAGGTGATTTCCTCATAACTCTCCCATGAGACAGGTGGTATACATATTTCTGTTGTTCAATCATCTTTCAGGCATGTCTGACTCTTCATGACCCCATTTGGGGTTTTCTTGGCAGAGATACCGGAGTGGCTTACCATTTCCTTCTTCAGCTCATTTTACAAATGAGGAAACTGAGGCAAACAGGGTGAAGTGACTTGCCCAGAGTCACACAGCTAGGAAGGAAGTGTCTGAGGTCAAATCTGAACTCAGCTCTTCCTGACTCCACATCTGGCTCTCTATCCACTGTGCCACCTAGCTGCTCAGTGTGCATATTACTGCCCCCACCTGACAGGTAAATGGCTTGGCCAGGATCACTCAGCTGGTAACTGGTCATTTGGAATTCACACCCAAGCCTGCTAACTCTAAGCCTGCTTTCTGCTCTACCATCCTACATCCTAGAGATGTACAGGTAAGGAATATGACTTCCTTACCATGTCTCGCTCATTTCCTTCTTCAGGGGTAAATGTCTTGTTCATGGAATCCTAAATCATCAGATTAGGAGAAACGCTGAGAAGCAGCTATTTAACTTGTACCTGAAGGAGAATTCCTCCTCTATCATCCCTAAGTGTCACCTGCCCTCACCCTGGAGCCCTCCAGTAATGAGGAACCCACGACTCAATGCAGCCCATTCAGCTTGGGAATAGCTATAATCGTGAGGGCCTTTCCCCTGACATCAAACCAAAACCTGCTTCTGCCAAGAGGATCAGCCAGGCTCTCTTTGCTCCTGGTTCTGACCTGGGGAGCACACAAGGCGAATCCCTGGTCCACTGACAGTACTTGAGACGCTTCAAGGGAGAGACGGCCTTCTTGTGCATCTCCTATCCTCCGGTGTAAGCATTCCTAGCTCCTCCACTGAGTTCTATTTCATCATCTCCTGTGCCCACATCATCCTGCTCACCCTCCTCTGGATATATTCCAGTTTGTCAGCATCCTTCCTAAAACGAGGCACCAGAATCAGGCTCCTGATGCTGAAAGCTGCCATGTTCTCGCAAGGGCAGAGGCCAGCGGGACCAAGGGCAGAGGCCGGCAAGACCATCACTCTCCTTGTCACTGACCCTCAGCTGCTCTTCCCGCTGCCCAAGATGCCATCAGCTTTGGCGCCTGCCGGGGCATACTGCCAATTCCTAGAACACCACCAGACCTTGTTCATAAGCACAATTGTCTACTCAGACTCCCCCCATATTGTGCTTGGGAGATTATTTGTTTAACCTGAGTGTAAAGTTTGACATTTTCCCTATTAAATGTCATTTAGTCCTCTTTGACTCACCCTTCTAAGCTGTGGAGCTCTTTTTGGTCCTGACTTCCATATCAACCACAATGAGCAGCATATAGAGAGAGCTTCAAGATTTGAGAAGCACTTTGCATATGTTATCTCATTTTATCCTCACAACAACTCTGGAAGGTGGATGCTCTTATGATCCCCTTCTATAGATGAGGAAAGCAGGACCCTCTGCCTCTACAGGAGCTAAGTGCCTCTGTATCCTTGCTGGGTCAGGCAAAGTCGTCCCCCTTCGGTCATCTGCTCAATGGCTCATGACTGCTCTTCAAGCAAAGACTGGACTTTGGAGGATGATGAAGAGCGATCTTGGCGTCTCGTTCAGGCAAAGGTTGCACCCGATGGTCTTTGAGGACCCTGAGATTCTGCGACTCCTGGGTCACCTCCACACCCAATGGGAACTCTGACTTTGTTGCAAGTTCTTCTTCTCTAGATTTCTTGCCTATGACAGAGAAACCCCAACACTCTGCACCAATTGGCAAGCTCTGATCATGGTCTCAGCCCTTATTCACAAAAGGGCATCGGGCTCATTGCTCCATTCAGGCTACGTCTGGAACCCAAGGGAAAGAGAGTAAAAATGAAGTCTTGAAGCGTCCCTGACCTGTTGGCTAACCTATTCTGTTGTTCTCCTGAAGTTCAGAGTCAAGGGACTCTGGCTTCTGAAACCCTCCGTTCTAACCATTTGCTTTTCCACATGGTGCCCTCGGCCAATGATCTCTGGGTGAGCAGGAGTGCGCCGGAGTCAGCTCACACTGTCCTGAGAGAGAGCCAAGTGTTCAATTTTCAGTGGGAGCATTCACACCTTGGAAATCAGCAAACTCTGCTAACCAGGGCTTGATTTACTGTTTCGTTGATTGTCTGGACTTGAGAAAATGATGGAGAGAATGTTAATAATAAAGACTAACCTTAAAAGTGTTGTGTGTGCTCTTTTTGGTTAAACATTTACCGGCACACCACTGGGCACGTGTACCCTGGGGTGTAAAAGATATTCTATTGGGATACTTAAAGAGAACATTAGACCTGGGAAGAGCGTCTTGGCCAGCTGCCCTACGGCCATACCCTTCTCCCCACCTGAAATAGACACCGCCTGGATGGGGACCCCAACCTTCAGAGCCTGTGCTTACCATTCTGATGTCAGACAAATTTCAACAAAAATGGAATTAAGGGAAAAACATGAAACAAGGCTGAAAAGGGAGGGTGGAGGCAGAATGAAGAGGGCTTTAACATCCAGCCTGAGTGGAGTTTTATCTTTTGAGTAAGGAAGGGAAAAGGGCTGACCTGTGCTTCATGATGATTTTGATAGCTCTATAGAGAGTGGATTGGGGAAAGGAGACAGCGGATGGGAGACCAGTTAAGAGACTATTATATCATCCAAGCAAGAGGGGATGGGGGCCTGAGCTAAGGCAGTACCTGTGTGAGAGAACATGAAAATGTTGAGAAGACAGAACTGACAAGACTGAGAAGTTGGTTATAGAAAGAAAGGAATTGAGAAAGGAGTCAAGGATGGCTCTGGGGGGCCAGGAAATGTGGTGGCTTCAATGGATAGAAGGAAACGGAAAGAAGGGATGAATTCAGGAGATGCACAACTCCTCATCTCCTCTTCTTATAAACCTTGGTTTTCTTCAAGGTCCAACTCAAGCACCATCTTCTACATGAAATCATTTCTTGTCCCTTGAGCTACTGGGACCTTGTTCTCCAACTTATCTGATATCATGTGTGTTAACAGATAGATAGACAGACAGACAGACAAATAGATATCTCATGTACACACACACACACACACATACACACACACACACACACAATGCTTCCCAGGGAGTATCTCAGTTGTGCCTTTTTTTCTCCAGTACTTAGTAGAGAATCTGGTACATGGCACGGGTTTAATTAATGCTTGTTGATTGGTTAGTTGGCTTCTATTTGGGGCGTGTTGAGTTTGAGATGTCCATGGCCCAGCCTGGCGAAGATTTCCAGCAGCCATTGGTCACTAGGGACTGGATTTCAAGAAAGACATTAGCTATGTTCTCCTGGATAGATGAATGTACCTTCCTCACCTGTAGACACTGGATTTGGGGGATGGGGTGAGGAGGAAAGGGGCAGGGAGAAAAAGCCCCCTCCCTAGGCTTCTCTTCCCCAGGATAAATATTCCCATTTCCTTCAACCAGCTTTCATACAATGTAGACCAAGACCCTTCACCATCCTGGCCCCCCTGCCCCACCTCTCCAATGCCTTTCCTAAAATGGGATGCCCAGAACTGAACACAATACTCCAGACGTGGGCTGGCCAGGACTCAGCAAAGCAGAACAATTGCCCCCCGTCCCCGAAGTCCTGGATGCTCAAACTGCCTCAGTGTCCCCTAATTCACCTTAGTTTTCTTGGCTATAATACCATACTGTTGACACTCAATGGGCCTAAAGCCCACTAAAATCCACTGGGTTATTAAAAATGAACTGCTCTCTCTAGCTAAGCCTTCCTTCTTACACTTGTGAGGCTGACATTTTGAACCCATGTGTAAAATATCATATTTCTTCTTCTTCCATTTCATCTTATCAGACTTAGCCCATGTTCCTTCTTAGGCCTGTGATGATCTTTTGGGATCAGGCCTCCATCATCTAGTGAGCCAGCCCTCCCTCCCACCTCCGTGCCATCGGCAGCTTTCCAACATCCTGATCCCACATGTGCTGCTTTCTCCAATACAGTGTCTGACCTATCGCCATGACTACCTGGGCAATGCTCAGATTGGAGGTAGGTGGGGGAGGTTGTTAAGGACTCCCAGGCCTTTCTGGGAAGTATGTCTGTGCCTTACCTCCAGGTGCCCATTCTCTGCTGCATCATGGAGAGGGGTCCCTCCCCAGTGATCTCGGATTATCTGGGCACCCATCAGAAGAAGCCGATCCAGAATGGGTGCGTGACCCCCCCTGGCTGCAAAGTGGAGCACTGTAGCTCCCTCATCATCTCGAGCCATCAGGCTGATATCTGTGAATGTGACCTACGAGGAAGGAGGAATGGGCATGAACGGAAGGAATCCTTTGTCTCCTAAACCCTATCTTGAACCCTTGGCCACACAGCCCTTCATCACCCTGGAGGCCCAGCCCACCCAGTCCATGTGGTGACAGAGATGCCAAGGAAGGCTTTTGTCTCGGCCCATTGAGTCAACCATCAGGTCATCAATGAGGGAGTAACCTGCTGGGCATCTCATGTGCCCAACCCCATTGTATATGCTCAGAAAACTGACTTCCTCATAGGTCAGCCTGTGAATAAGGGCACAGAGCTCAGTCTTGCATGTAGCTCATTCCCAAGTGCCACATTTAGATCTGATCGCACAGGCCGAACTTAACAACAAACCCAGGGGTTTAAAAAAAAAGGCAATTGAGCCATCAAATTCATTCCCAGCAATGCACAGAGGAGAGAGGGCCAGTCCCACAGCAAGGAAGATCTGGCTTCTCTGACACATCCTGGCCCTGTGACCCTGGCCTAGGCATTTCACCTCTGAAGGTCCCAGGCAGTTCTCTAAGATTATCAGTTAAAGGACAGGTGGCTCCTTGCACAGGTAGAGAGAGTTTCCTCCCCAGGGAGTTCCCTGCCCTGACAATATCACAGGGTGGGATTTCCCGGGGACAATAGTGCCACCATAACCTAAGTGGCTCAATCATAGGTACAGAGTATTTAAGAATGGAAGCCCCTAGTGAGCCTGGACTGGTTTTGATTCTTCTTTGAATTCCTAGGCCTTAGTACAGTAAGTGGATCCAGGTCCTGAGGAGACTGATCCCTCTGCAAACAGAGAGCAGAGACCCTCAGAGACCAGCTGAGGGAACTTCTGGGAAGTGGAGTCCCAAGGAGAGAGGGGTTTTCTTCCTGCCCTGGGCAACAAGAAGAGACTTTCACTGACATTTGGCATGGAGACAAGGGTTAGGAGGAGAGGCTGGGGGTGCATGTCTTGAGAGAAACAGACAGAGACAGAGATAGAGAGAAATAGAGAGAGAGAATAGCAGAAGAGATTTGTGTTGATTGCAGCTGGGCTCCCTCTGAACAGCTGGTGCCTTCCTGTGTGTAGGCACAAGTAGACAGGAGTGTGAGAGACTTAGCGTGTTTCAGTGGTGGGGTGCCTTCCGCTGCCTAAAAATTCATGTAGATGGGAAAAGGGCGCTTTTCCCCTTCCCTTTCTGTCCACTAAACGTCAGGCTCTAATCCAAAGTGTTTTCTGTCCTTAAAAGTTACTCACACCTCTTGTTTTAATTGATACTTTACTACCAGTTTATTCTAGACAAAAAAAGCTAGAATAATTCAGTCTGTTCCTGATGGTGTGATTCATCACAAATTAAGGAGAGGCAGCGATGACTTGGAGTATACAGAGATTTTTTTTTTTAAGGATCTAGATCCGGACCTTGGACCAGGCTTTATCGTGCCAGGCTTTATCCTGGATGGGGGCTTGAGCTACGTGATTGAGAATACCAATGAGTTTTAGTTTATTAATATCTAATAAATTTCCCAAAGCAGAGTAAAACAGAATCTGGGTGTCTTCCCCTCCCCCTTCCCTCTGGACAAAATGAGTCTGAGTCAGGAGTGAGCGGTTGAAGCTGAGGAAGGGAGGTTGGGTGAGTAAAGGCTCCCTCGGTTTCTCAGGGAAGCTGATTCTGATCGTTCTTTCTGAAAGCTGATCTGCTCCTGAGTGGGGGAAGGAGGGGGAGCGGAGATTTTGACTAAGGAAAAATGGACCCCGAGGACAGAGTCGGCAGGGAGGGGCCCTGACCACATTCACCAGGAGAGCGCTGGGGAAAGAGGGAGCAGCTGGTTTGCCTGTGATGCCAACCACCTCCAGTTGGACACCTACTTCAAGGGCTCCAAGAGCAGCTCAATGTTGTTGATTGGTTGGCTAATTTATTTTCATTCTGGGACTCAGATACCTTAATACAAGTACCACACATAGATGGTAAAGGCATCAGTGAGCTCTCTCTCTGCGAGTGCAAATCGCAACCCGTCCACGCCTTGTCATCCTGTGTGACAAGACGACTCCTCTTCCCCCTCCTCCCCCTCCTCCCTCTCCTCCCCCTCCTCTTCCTCCCCCTCTTCCCCTCCCCCTCTTCCTCCTCCTCTCCCCCTCCTCCCCCTCCTCCCTCTCCTCCCTCTCTTCCCCTCTCCCTCTTCTTCCTCCTCCTCCCCCTCCTCCCCCTCCTCCTCCTCCTCTTTTCTTCCCCACCCCAGCCATGGAGAGCCCACTACTTCCCAAAGCAGCCCGTCCTATCTGTAGATGGCTCTCCATAGCAGGACTCGCTTTCCCCTAACACTCTCCTGCCCCCTCCATCCACCCCTGGCTCCAAGTTCTATCCCTTGGCACTGAACAGAGCAGAGTCTAACCCCTCTTCCACCGTTTTCCAGTGCTTTCTTAACTACCAGCCTATGTTCATCATAATTCTCCTTTTAATACCTCAGTTAGAGAACTTAGAGCTGGAAACGACCTCAGAAATTCACTCCTAGATCTAGTCCAATCTCCCATTTTACAGAGGTTAAAAAGTGAGGCCTGGAGAGGGGAAGAGACTTACCTAAGGACTCCCACGTGGTAAGTGGCAATGCTAAGACACAAACCCAGGGCCCCTGACTCAACTTCAGCTCTTTTCCCACTGAGCCACTTTGCCCCTCAGATCACCCTCAAGTCACCCAGTTTAAGACTCTCATTTTAGTGACAGTTGGAAGGGAACTCAGGGGCTAGCAAGCTCCACACAAAGATGACCAAGAATCCCCTCTACAACCTATCTAACAAATGGTCACGAAGCCTAAGATTAGCATTCAAACTAATAAAGATAAACTTAAAACACCAATGAAACAATTTGACCTAAAAGAGTTCTCATAAAGAGGTGTGGGTGTGTGTGTGTGTGTGTGTGTGTGTGTGTGTGTGTGTGTGTGTGTG